TCAAGTCATTTGACCCCCCAATTAATCCGACTTCAAGGATCCAAATCTAAATCCATGAAGAGAAGAATCAGTGGAGATAATAGAGATTATAAGTTGTACAAAAGTTTTATGTTTTTCATAAAATTTATTGTTACAAAGTCTTCCGTAATGGTTTCTTCATCCCACTCCCTTCCACTTCTACTTATCAAGTCTTTTACCCAAATCAGGCCCCTTCCCTCTCTTTGTCTGAACTCGAGTTTCCTGCTATTTAGACTTGGAACCCAGTTGTACTCCAATATTTTAGTATTGACCCATTCCTAACCTCCACTTTCAGCCCTTTCTCAAAAACATCTCCGAGTCAGCCAGTAGTGCGAGAGGATGTTTAATTTTTTAAAATTAAGAAGACTCATTACATTTTATTCAAATTTATTTTCCAAAATCAAGCAAAACTCTTACATTTTACGTCCGGCCTGAGTTAATTCTCCTATCGTGAACCACAATTTTTTCAAAATTATATAATTAAATTTGACTTATTGGTGCACTATTATTTTTTAAAATAAGACTGGAGCTTTATGGTTAAACTCTATTCAGTCTTTGTACTGATTCTAGTAGTATAGTTATTAGTTTATACCTCAGGTGTATTATTTTGAATTTTCTATCTATATATAATTATTTTTGAAAAAAAAAATCTATTAATGAAAATATTTAATTTATTTCAAGAAATAAGAAGGACTATTACATTTTATTGATTGACGATGGAATAAGAAAGGACACCATCATCAATCTTTATATAGAATCAATGTTACTCGGAAGTCTTATAACGTAAAATGAAACATTCCATCATATTCAATATTCAAATTTGCAAATGCTTTCAATCCATTGATTCGAATTTCAAAATGCACTAGAAATTCTAAACTTGCGTACATTAAAATGTTGTTACGATCTTAATTGTTACGACAATACCAAATCTACACTACGCGTATTTTTCAAAAGACACACACACANAAAAAAAAAAAGAAAAAAAGCTCTATATTTAATCTGGTCAATAGTATGCCTAAATAGCAACAAATTAGAATTGGCCTCAATCCCAAAATCATGGACTAGTTTGGATGTTTGGGTATTGATATTAAATTAGCATGTTGAAATTCATTTAAAAATTTAACCCTCAAATCCGCTGATTGTTTTGATAAAAACTTAATTAATTAGCTTTTTAACTCAAAACTTTGATTCAAAAAAATCTCGATAGAGTAGCGGCATTTAAAGATTTGACCTAAATTTACTAACTATTTTATTTGGTAAAAAATTATTTGATTAACCTATTTGGTAAAAAAAATTATTCTAAAAAATATCAGTAAAGCGAGTTTTGAGTACATGAGATTAATAAAATAACATACCAACATAAAATTTCTAAAATAGTTGTACAACTTTTTACTAAACACTTATTTACAAAATACTAATTAATACAATCAACTTAGGTAAACTATACAATTTGTTATCCATTTTACCGAATAGAGATAAATAAGTGCAAAGCTATATATAATATAACAATTGATTATTTGGTGATAATACTATCAACAGGTGAGATTTGGGTAACCCATAAATTCAAATAGAGGAAATCACACACATTCCCTTTGACATGGCGAGAATATTTGTATAACATCCAACACTCTCTCTCTCACACACACACACAGTGTGTGTGCTTCTTATTCATTCCCCGCCTTTTCGTCCCGTTTCCATATATAACCGTATCCTCAACAACTTCACACACTATTCACGACTCGCCATTAGCGTGAAAAGTGAAAACACACACACACAAACGCACGCGCGCTGGGAGAAAAAGGCGCGATGAAGAATGACGGCGGCGGCTGCGGCAGTGCAGCTTCGCCGATCGCGGTGCTGTCGGCAATTTTTGCAGCGTCCATGGCCGTCATCGTCGTCTGGGGATACTTCGCGGGCCCGGGTAACGGGTTCGGGTTTTTCTATTCGGGGACAGCAGCAGAGCTCAAGGTTCCGGCGGTCGAGCTGGTCACCGCGGCCGCGCGCTCACGAGGTGATGAGTCCAGAGCTGTAATTTCCTCCGATTTCTCGACCAGATTCAAGCCAGCTGTCAGCGTAAGCATCTCTAGAACACACACGAACACGTGTGTGTGTCAGTGTGTGTGTGTGTGTGTGAATTCTGTGTGTTGAGTAGAGGATTTCGGATTTCGGATTTTGGATTTTGTATGCTGTTCTGCGAATCACACAGTCATGGAAATTCAAATCTGAGTTGTATAATCGGATTTGTATGTGTACATGTCGATGTAATTATAATTCGTTGTTGTGTATACGAGGATCAAGCTTGTGATCACGCGATTATCGTTTCAGAGAGATTCTGTAGCCTGTGGTTTCAGATTGCCGGAATTTTATTGTTTTGAAGTCGGTGAAATTTGGATTTATCAGCTGAGTATTGTTTGATTGATTTGGTTTTAATTAACGATTTCTTTTATTACTCTTGTTGTGTTGTTGCTGTTGACTGGATTTCTGTGATTATGATTAATTATCCGTAGATTGGTATTATGAATTTATGATGATTTTCCTGGGTTTTTACTGATAATTAATATGGTGGATACAGAGTATAGCAAGAAATAGTAAATTGGAGCACGGTTTAGCCACAGCTAGAGCATTGATTAGGAAAGCAGCTTCTACCAGAAACAAAACAGTCATCATCCACAACAATGATGTTCTGTCCTCAGCAATTTATTGGAATCCCGGTGCATTTTATCAGTAAGTAACTCTCGTATTTGCACAATCATGAATTAGTGACGGTCTCGAGTTCCGTTAGTATGCAAAGCTATATGTATTTACGTACAGAAGGTGCGTTGAGCATGAAGAAAACTCGCGCACAATTACGTTTAGTTTACTGCCTTAGCTCCGTAATCAGTGCTCGCACATGCCCATTCCTCATTCGGTATTTCTGAGTTTTTCCATCAATCGCAAATCGCGTGTTACGTGTAAATTTAGAAGTGGTTTTGAAAGTTAATTGGTGGGACTTTCCTTCTAAGATAGACTCTGCATGATTTTCCAGATCATTATACATACCACGTGTTATTGGGAGGCTCATGGCTTTTATTTAAGTGAGAAATATTCATAAAGGAGCAGTCTTCTAAATGAAGCATGGGGTGTATTTTTAGTGCGAACACTCATGTTTCTCTCTTTTTGATTATAGAAAAGACTGAAATCCTGCCTCATTAATACTCATTGCTTTTTCTGTGTCCAACATTTCTCATGGATGACTCTACCGGCCACCCTTTTGTTGCATCACTTAATCATATTATTTTCTTCATTTCAAATTATTTTTTCTTTGAGAAAACAACTCTGGATGAGGTTTTAGTTTTATGATTATTAAAAGTCATAGATATCCATAAGAAAGCTTCCCTTCAAAGTCAAAGTTGATTATGGTTAAAAATTCTAGCTCCAAGGGGAAAAGGATAAAATATGAGAGAAATTCCGTTTCCTTAAATTTTCTGGACCGATTTAATAAATTCTCTTTGCCTTTTGCACTTTGCTTGAATAAATATTAATAAGAAGCTCAAGTTATGATTTTGAGGGGGGAAATCCAAAGGATTTGAAAACAGACCTTCTTTAACTTTTCTTGGCCACTGTATTAAACTCTATTTTCCTTCTCTAAAAATAGGCGATGATAACAAAAGGGTTGATATGTCATATTGTTACATGGACTTTACATTTACATATATCCATAACTGGGTCAAAATGTTGAGATAATCACCATTTAAGTGGTCCTTATGTGAAATTCATAAACTTAAAACAGTTCACCACTATAGCGATCTTGTTAAAAATCGATGCAAGTACAATATTTAATTGCGATCAAACATCCCCTCCCATGTTCAACTGAAATTAAATTGCAGGAGTTATAAGGAAATGGAAAAAAGATTCAAGGTCTACGTGTATCAAGAAGGGGAGCTACCAATAGTACACGACGGGCCATGCAAAGACATTTACACCAGCGAAGGACGGTTCATAAACGAGATCGAGAGTGGAAACAACAGGTTCAGGACAAACGACCCAAAAGCAGCCCACGTCTACTTCATGCCCTTCAGTGTAACATGGATGGTCAGATACCTTTACAAGCCCAACACCTACAATCTTGACCCGCTCAGACTATTTATATCCGATTACGTCAAACTTGTCTCCACGAAACACCCTTTCTGGAACCGGACCCAAGGAGCCGACCATTTCATGCTCTCTTGCCACGACTGGGTACTATTTTTAAAGCCACAATAAAAATTAAAATGTTTATCGTACATTCATCAAGTTTTAAAATTTTCAAATAATTTATTTCCAGGCGCCTCAAGCCTCGCGAGGAGATGCATTTCTATACAACACGTCAATCCGTGTAATGTGCAATGCGAATTCGTCCGAAGGATTCAGACCAGAAAAGGACGTGAGCCTGCCAGAAATCCACCTCTATGGCGGCACTGTAAACCCAAGGCTGATTTCTCCACCACCCGCCAATGCCTCACGGCCCTATCTCGCCTTCTTTGCCGGTGGCCTTCATGGCGTCATTCGGCCAGTCCTCCTCAAGCACTGGAAAAACAAAGATCCCGACATGCGTGTTTATGAGTACCTCCCCAAAAACCAAGACTACTATGAATCCCTTTTACTGTCCAAGTTCTGCTTGTGCCCGAGTGGTTATGAAGTGGCTAGCCCCAGAATTGTGGAGTCCATTTATGCCGAATGTGTCCCTGTTTTGTTATCCGATTACTATGTGCTCCCGTTTAGTGATGTTTTGAGGTGGGATTCGTTCTCGATAAAAGTGAATGTTTCGGATATCCCACGGTTGAAGGAGATATTGCTGGCTGTGACGGAGGGTGAGTATCTGAGGCTGAAGGAAGGCTTGGGGGCTGTGAGGAGGCATTTCGTTTTGAACCGGCCAGTGAAAAGATTCGACATGTTTCATATGATCTTGCACTCTGTGTGGCTTAGACGGTTAAATTTAAGGGTCCGTTTGGTATAATTTTTGGAAGAAAAAAAAAAAAAAAGGTGAACTGATTTAAGAAACACAGCTGAACTAGGCATAGTGTTTATATCAGCCACAAAGCAATTACTTTACATGCAACAGTGGAAGTTAAGTCTTGTGCTTGCAGGACGAGGGTCTAATGATTGTACCATGAATTTAACATCACATCACTAATCAGATTGGGCTATGTACACATCTGAATTCTTGTAAAGGTATCTAGAAAATGAAAAACGAAAGAAGGACATAAGAAAAGCATCTTGTTATACATATCCACATATTCATTTAATGGCAATGAAGCCGTTTGAGATGCGCTCGATCTGAATTCTGAGTATCTCGCCAATTGATAACTTGGGGCGTTCGTCTGGGGTCGTCTGCGGACGTGTCGTCTCTCTTATCACAGCAAGATCTATTGCACCCATTTCTCTCTTCATGGACCTAATGGATTCCAGGTCCACATTATTCCCTGAAATATCCCTTACGTAGAATGCATTCACCGACTTCTCCCCTTGAGTCGCAACATCTGCTCTCACAACCGCTAGCCCATTTTCCCTCAGAACTCGGGTGATGTCCGAAAGCAACCCAACTCTATTGTATGCAGAGAGTTCTAACCGAACGCCCTGTTTTTATTCAATCAAAAAAGAAAAAAAAAATTATATTCCTCCCAAACAAATAATATCAAGCAAATTCTCGCTCTCAAATGAACATACCTCACAGACCCTTCGTTCGATGGCGGCCTCTAAGCATTTTATGACCCGATCTTTCTCTCCCTCTGTGTTTAGCGCACAACCATCGACATGCCTTATGAAATACTCCTGTGACAATCAATCAATTAACGATTTAATTCCCATCCACAGAGGTGACGATTTTCTCAAAGAACAAACTACAAACCTGAAACGCGTAGCCTCGGCAAGAATCTATGGAGGCATGAAAAATCACGTACTGCATGTCCGTGAGAGTGCACACAGTATCAAACAAAAGCCTTCTCCTATCCTTACACTCAATGGTGACAATCGAGTACCCTTTCTCGATACAGCTCTCGACTGACACGCTGGCCCTCCTCTCGCCGTCCTCGGACAAAGTCGGGTTACCCGTTCGCCAGGCTGGCATGTCAAAGTCCCGGCCAGAAAGCATGAGCTGGTGGAGCCGCCTCTCGACTCGTGTGGTGGTGCTCAGCAGCTCCTCACCCCTGGGGAGGCCCGCGGGCTTCACTTCCTGTGGGCCCGGATTGCCGGGCCCAGTGGAGGTGGTGGCCCGGAGTACGGTGGTGAGGTGGTCCTCGATGACGTGGAGGCGGTGGTCGTCGATAGGGGTATCGTTTGACTTGTTGGAAATGTGGGCCACGCAGGCTAAGAGGGCGTTGTGGCTCCACGCGTGGGCTTCGATGATGTTGCAGCCGAGGTCGGCCAGGGCAGCGGATATCTCGGAGAAAAGGCCGGGCCTGTCTTTTCCGGTCATCTCGATTGCTTTGGGCTCGTCGGGCTGGGACTCGCACGGGCTTATTCGGGCCTTGGGCTTCAGGCTGGTGTAGCTTTTGGAACCAATAGCCTGTGTGTGTGCATTTTTGGTTTTATTATTGTCAAGTCATTGAACAAAAATATTAGTCTTACCATTTCATGAATTAATTATTTTGCTTTGGGACTTCTTCTTGTTTTGTACACTAAAAAGAAGTAGATAATTAAGTATTTAGTGATATTTTACCTGCTGAATGCAGTTGATAGCCCTTTGATCAGTGACTTTGTTGCCTAATTCATTTTTTACTTGAAAAACTGCAGCAAACCAGATCATATAATATGACAGATCAAGACTTTTGAAAAAATATGTATGCCTAACCGTTAGACTTGTCTAATAATGGTGTTACCATTTCATGAACTAATTATATGAATTGGAAAAAAAAGTACATAAATATAAATAAATATTTGATCATACCATCCATGAACCAGCCAGCATCTGAAGAAATGTAACCTTTGGATATAATTAAGTTCATATCCGTGAGAGTCTGCACCACTTCCAGGAGTAGGCCCTGCTTGTTCACGCTATCAATCTGCGTAATTTAATTCACCAGCTAAAATTTTATTATTATTTAATAATAATAATTTTAATCATTTCCTCATGATTTTCACATTTTTTCCCCCCAAAATATCTGAAAATTTCAAAGCTACAACTAAAACGAGAAGAAACGAGTTTACCTTTAAGATGGTGCAATCCTCCAAGCTTTCATTGTCTATGTTGACTCTACAACTGAAAATCCATAAAATAAAATAAAAACTTTTCTTTTAATTTCCAAATATTCATTGAAAATAATAAAAAGAAAAAATACGCTGGGCCATATATTCTCTCAGGGAGGCTTTCAAAGTCAGGATCAAAGTAAGGCGAGCAAACTTCGCTCATCCTGCATATAGGTCGTGAAAATCACATTAAAAAATTACCCAAAATTTTCTTATTTTTACATATATAAGAATGCACATATATGAAACTAAAGAAAACATAAGACAGCAATAATAACCTTGTGCCTTAGGATTGTTGGCCTTCTAACAGTTGGAATTAGATTTGGAATTGATCGTGGGAATATATTGTTGATGCACATAATATGCATGGAGCTGATGGGTTGAGCCCATCATGATAAACAACATCGTATTCCTCCAAAGAGAACCAAAAAAAAAATGAAATTGATTGTTTCAAAAGAAAAAAGAAAAGGAAAAAATGAAAAATGAAAAAGAGAGTCTATTTGATTTGTTGAGAATGAGTTACCTAATTTTTTGTTAGCCAAACATCTCTCGGTTGTCCGTAAATGTCTCCTCAAGTGATGGGAAATTGCAAAAATATTTGGTCTATGATTATCTCTCCATCACTCATAGACAACACAAAGGAAAATGAGCAAGCCTGCCTAACTCTGTTTCTGTCTCAAATTAGGTCACCTTAACTACTAACCCATATATTTTTTTTATATAAACATGCATTTTTTATTAAAAGATATCATTTTTTTTAAAAAAATAACATAATCATAATTATGACGTTTGATAATATAAGTATTTATTTTTTATTCAGAAAGAAAGACGGGTCGACCCACGTTTAGGCCGACTCACGAACTAATGTATATATCTAGAACACAAATGTTATTGTTAAGGATATATTGTTTTACCAAAAATACATATTTATACTATGAAATGTCATGATTTTATTTATAATTTTATATTATAGCTTACAGCATGGTATTTAAAGAAGGAGGCGAGAGGGAGTGGTTGGCAAACCAAGTTGAAGAAAGTGGCACTCGCGGCTACCGTCTTCTTCATTTGGAATGCTAGGAATCGGTTGGTGTTTGAGAATGAATACCAAGGCCCCAGCCTTGTAATCCGCAAGGTAAAACCCATGTTTATCGAACTATTTTTGCAACTTATCCGAATGTGCTTGTTGAATTTGAGAAGAGGAGTCTTTGCTTTGTACCCTATTGTGCTTGTTGAGTTTGTGATGAGACGCCTCGGTCTTGACGAGGGTTGCGAAAGAGCAAAAAATTTAGCCAAATTTTGCCCTCTGAAGCTGGACGAGAGTCGCGGCTGAAAAACACGAGTCGCGGAAGCTGGACGCGAGTCGCGAATGAAAGACTCCCTGCTGCACAAACTGCTCTGTATTTGACCGCGAGTCGCGACTTAAACCCGCGAGTCGCGGACTGGGGTCCGCGAGTCGCAACTGAAGGCCGCGAGTCACGACTTCAAGCTTCCACTAGCATGGACTACTCTGAAGTTGGCCGCGAGTCGCGACTGACACCCGCGAGTCACGGCAGCATGACTTAACCCTATGTTTTGGGCTCGTTTAGATCCGTACGAATTCGGTTTCCAGTTCTGTTTTTTCCTACGCGTAGCCAACGAAGTCTTATACGAGACCTACAAATGACTTATTGCATTTTGTTTTTAGTAACTAAGAGTGACCAACCGACTTGTAAATGGCCTCGTATAGCTTTATCTTGCGAATGAGGAACCGAATGTGTGGTTGCCCATTACGCTTTTGTAAGCCGTAAACCGGTTGTCCGAACCAGTTTTGATCTATATATTTACATTTAACGATAAAAAAAAAAATATCGAAGTATGCATATTTGTTTGAACAAATATAACATCCTGATTAGGTTCGATATACTATTGACCCGGATAATGTGTTTGAAATTTCAGTAACCAAGTTACATCCACATAAATGCAAGTTATATAGACTATTATAACTGGTGATCCCTCAAACTGGTATTTAGCACCGAGGAAACTTTCATGTTTATCTAATATTGTTGGCACAAATAGGAAAAAATCTTATCAGTTCATGAGATAATTGAATAATTTTCAAAGTGGAAAATGTTACATTGCCAACCTAGTGTACAACTGGTTGACAACACAAGTGGAAAATATTCACATGCGTATTTTTTTATGTTCTTACTTGTGTTGTCAACCAGTTGTACATTAGGTTGGCAATGTAGTATTTTTCACTTTGAAAATTATTCAATTATCTCATGCAATATTGGTATAACAAAGCAAAAGGATTTAAACACGTTTCTCACGATAAATGAGACTATTATTAAAAATAAAATGAAATTGTTGGATTTAAGTTAGGGACATAGGCCCGGCCCTAGCCCAGGGCAAACTAATAAAATAAAAATTTGTATTTTTTCATTATCTATGAATAGCTTCTAGAGACTACATTAAATAAGTTTTGGAACATAATTGTAATTTTTAAATAAAAAAAATATTAAAGTTGAGTTGAGTTGTGAATAAAGATAAGTTAGGTTGTAAAAGTCAAATTGTGTAATTGGATGAAAGAAAGATAAGTTAGGGGAATTTAGATTTCAGCTTTAGTGAATCGCTTTTATTTACATATATACCAAATATAACACTTAATTGCACTTATATCTAACTTGATCAAATTATTTATATATATACAATATAATTAGTAACAGATCAAGTCATAATGACTTACCATAACAAATCCGCGTAACTGACGGGATGCATGCCTGGAGAGAGAAATTATTTTATGTCGGTATCTTTTATCCCAATTTTTGTTTATATCGGATGTATGCATAACATATACATCACATATACATTTTTATATACATAGGAAAATATATAAACAATATATATACAAAAAATATACAGTATATATACCTGCTACTACACAAACAAAAAAATGTATAAATATACTACACATATAAAGCATATTTATACATAAGATATACAGAAGATGTAGTTTTAGTTCTGGGCCTGTAACTTTCAACTTCCCTACGTCTAACCCCAGGTCCTGTGGTCCCCAATCCATAAATTCTTACATTTCAAATTTCTTCTTCAACTTTTGTTACAGTTTTAAAGATTGATTTTTTTCAATTGTTGTTGTTGAGTTTGAGTAGAGTGTTCTTGTGCTGAGGATTGAAATTTGAAAGTTTGGTTTGATAAAACCATGTGATCGAAGTTTTAGCACAGTAATTCCTATTTCCTCTGTTCGATTTATTTCTGTATACAAATTGATTGCTCAAAAAACAAAAGAGAAAAAAATCAATTGAAGGAGAAGAGAAAAAAGTTAAACGAAGAACCGTAGAAGATGAAGAAGACGAGAGAGGAAGAGAAAGTGATGGATATTAAATCTCATTAAGTTAGGTAACAAATCCCAATAAATCTATCTTAATAATTTTATAAATAAAATAATAGTCTAGTATACATGCAATAAAAGTTCTGTTGTATCGTTCAAGAAGTAATTTTTTCTTTTTATTATTGTATTGGATTGAGTTGGGTTATGAATAAAGATGCTGTAAAAAACGGCCCAATAGTTAGGGTAGTACTATTCACCGCCCCCCATTTTATTAGTCACCGCCCTCCATTTTTTAAATTTTTTTTATGCTCGAATCGTTCGTTGAAGTTCGGAAATTTAGAGAGATAGAAAGTTTAGAGAGATAAAATCCAAACAAAGATTAAAGACAAAAGAGTAAATGGAGGAACGGTGACTAGTAAAAAGAGGGCGTGAATAGCAGTTGAGAATAGTTATCATAATATTTAATTCAATGACAACTGTATGTTGCGAGTTATTTTTTGTAATAAGTTTTCGAAAACGGGACTTTTTATTTGTGGGCCGGGGAATAAAAAAGGGCATCCGCTTCACTCCAATTGTTTACGTACACGATCGATATTTATAGAATTATTACAGGAAAGTCTTCGCGAGAGACAGGCGCGTGAAAATGGCGATATTGTACGCGCTTGTGGCTCGCGGTTCGGTGGTGCTGGCGGAATACAGCGCTACTTCCACCACGGCGAACGCCATCGCCAGGCAAATCATCGAGAAAATCCCCGGCAACGAAGATACAAATGCCTCGTATTCGCAGGATCGATATATTTTCCACGTCAAACGCACCGATGGTCTCACCGTTCTGTGTATGGCCGACGACACCGCCGGAAGTACGCCTTCCTCTCTCTAGCTCTTTTGTTTTGAAATTCCGAATTTAGCTGTTTTTTCTCATTTTTCGGAGTTTCCTGTTGGTGAATGCTATGAAGAGCGATGATCCTGGAATTGGAATTAGTCAATTAGATGTGAAATGTGATTTATAGGTCTTTTCATTGTTATATGAAGTTGGAACGTCCTTTTTTTTTTTTCATTCGTATTTGTAGATGACAAAGGATGAATGATTAGGAGGAGCATTAACTAATTGAATCAAAATTTTTGAATCTGGAACTTGATAGCTGAACATGGACGAGCTGAAAATTATAGCATTACCTTATTAGTGATTTTATCCGTTGATCTCTTTTACGGATCTCAAAAAGGTGCTCCGGTCTCCAGTATTGCGATTTAAGTTTAAATTAACGAAAAATACAGGCCTTCCGTTTGTGTTTTGAATGCTATTTTGTTATTTGTAAAATAAAATGAGAAAGCTTTGGTATGAGTTAGCCATTATAATCAGGGGGTTATTTGCATTCTTTTGGACTTGGAGAAAGTAGAGATTAAAGTAGCTGAGAAACAGAATTTGCATAACAGAAGCTAAAAATTGAATCAGTTTTCATAGTCTTTAGTCAATTAGTTGTAAAGGCGCTTTGGTTGATGTAAAATTCAAAGCACAGAGCTGGAAATCTAACGGACCATTCCCATTGCTTTTAGATTTTGATTAGATTATGCATAATCTGAAGTTGTCAATTGAAAACACTAAAATTAAAGCCAAAAGCCAAAAGTTGCCAATCTATATTTTCAAGTGTTTCCAAACACTTCCATTTTTTTTAAATTCTCCATGACTTTGGTTTGCGTGCATTGCTATCAGAACTGAAATTCTCTGTTAAGTTGTTCTTGATATGCAAGCGTGCTGAGCTGTTGCTGATCTTGTTAGTTATTGTTTCGTCTTCCTCATGTCGGATCCTGAGAATCTAAGGCTATGTTTGGATATTGAACTTTTTAGGGGAAAAACGAATAATATAAAAACTAACACAAAGTACCACCAATTTGGACATGTGTAAAAGAGAACCATCCATGTTTTTTCGTGTAAGTGGAAGAGGTTTATTAGGCTTGGTTAATATCTGTAACCCGAGGATCTTGTGTACACTGTAATGTCCTATCTTCTAATTTATGCTAGCGTGTGAAGTTCTTTCTTAGTTGTAGCTGCTATATATATAATTGGTATATCTAAACTGATGTTATCTTAAGCACCCATCTACAACCTATATGCTTCTTATAATAATTTTATATCTGGTTGTCATCCACTGTTTGTGGTGGTTGTTTGCATGCATGGGAAAATTGCTTCATGCATCACAGTGGAATTGGACTTTTGCCACTTTCTAATCAATCTTTTAATAATAAGAAAATCATGGTAAAAGTAGCTTCAGACTCTGATTAGATATATGCATAATTCTGAAGTTGTCAATTGAAAACACTAAAATTACTTAAAGCCAAAAGCTAAAAGTTGCCAATCTATATTTTCAAGTGTCTGCAAACACTTCCATAGTGTGTTTTTTAATTCGTTTTGTATTTATCCGTGACTTTGGTTCGCGTTTGCTATCAGAACAGAAATTCTCTGTTAATTTGTTCTTGTTTTGCAAGCATGCCGAGCTCTTTATGATCTTGTTAGTTATTGGTTCTTCTTCCTCGTGTTGGATCCTGAGAATCTAATGCTTTGTTTGGATACTGAATTATTTTTGGGTGAAGATGAATTGTATAATAAACTAAAGGACAAAGTCCCTCCACTTTAGACATGTATTAAGAAGAACTGTCCATGTTTTCTCATGTAATGATGTTTATTAGGCTTGGGATTTAACAGTAATCAATGGATCTTTCATACATTGTAATGTCTCATCTTCTAACCTATCCTAGCGTGAGAAGTTCCTAATTGTAGCTACTATATTTATATAGTTGGTATATCTAAACTGATGTGAGCAACTTTTATTCATATATTTAAGCACCCATCTATGATTCATGTGCATCTCATATTAACTCAATATCTGGTTGTTATCCACAGTTTCTGGTGTGTGTTTTTGCATGTATAGGAAAATTGTATCATGCGTCACAGTAGAATTGGACTTTTGCCACTACCTGATCAATCTTTTAATAATAAGAAATCATGGTGAAAGTATCTGCAGATGCTTTT